TTCATCCGAGAATTGAAGCCTGCACAATTGCCATATTGTAACGATGGAATTGCAGATCTTCATGAAGAATTTTCATCACACAACGATCTTTGCCCGCAGAACGCCGTGGTGATCGCAACATTGAAGCTCTCACTGCCTCAATGTTTTCAGGTGATCTAATAGATGCTGTTGCGTCTTTTAGAAATTCCGATTTCACTGTTTTTTTTTTCTTAAAACTTTTAGAGGGTAGTCTGATAGATTATTTAGAAAAAAAATGAAAAAATGTTCCCAAAACATTGTATTTTTAGCTGTTCTTTACATCATTATTTCCACCGCCATCTATGTGCATATGACGTAGACGTCTGTACCTATGTCATATATGAGAGGCGCTTGCCTGCGGTGTTGCCGGATTGGGCTCCGCATATAGGGAAAAATATGAAAAGTTGAAAATTTATATACATACAGTAATGGACAAAAGTTTATAGACAAATTAATATTGTGCTGTATCTCTTTTTTAACTTGTTTTATTAATACACCAACCTGTATACATAATTCGTTATAGCATAATACTTACTTGTACATAAATAAATTCATTAGACTCCCTTCAATAAAAAATTAATTGAAAAAAACTGGAACTATGAAGGACGACAATATATAGACAAAGTAAAACAATTATAGAAAAAAGAAGCAAAGATCATTGAGTTATAGAAAACCAACGATGTTTGTGTCAATATTTTGTAGCATAACCATTATTATCAATCGCCTTCTGGCATCGTCCCGGCATAGATTGTAGAAGTTTCTTGATATAAGATTCATCAATCTGTCTCCACTTTTGCTCTAAAGCGGCAAAAAGTACATCCTTGTTTGAAAAATTTTTATCTCGAATTGGCTTATCTAAGTATTTCCATAGATTTTCAATGGGGTTTATATCGGGAGACTGTGAAGGCCATTTGAGAACTGCTATTTTTTCATCCAGAATGAATTTCTTTGCAAGATTTGAAGTGTGCTTCGGGTCATTACCTTGCTGGAAGATTGATCTTAAGGGCATATTGTCTTCCATATAGGGTAACATGACATGCTTTAGTATGTCTGTCTATACAAACTTATCCATAATGCCATCTATACTATGTAAAGGTCCCATCCCAAACCCCGAAAAGCACCCCCAAACCATAACAGACCCGCCTCCATGTTTGACACTGGGCAAAATGTACTTGGGGTTCAATCTTTGCCCACTAGGACGTCTAACCTAATCAACACCATCTGATGCAAACATACTCGTATTGAATTTGGATTCGTCACTGAAACATACCCTCTTCGTCACAGATGCTCCAATCAAGATGTGACCGTGCAAATTGTAATCGGTTCTTACGGTTTTTCCTCGAGATTAGCGGCTTCTTACTCGGGTGACGTGCAAATAACTTCAAATCATTTAATCTTCTACTTATAGTTTTCGTAAAAACACTGATAATTCCTTTTGTCTCGATTTCGGCTTTTATTTGTCTTGGGGTTTTAAACGGATCTTTGGACGAAATTACTTTTATTAATCTAACTGATCTAGCATTTAGTTTTCTAGGCCGACCACTTCTCTTAGAGGCTTCCAAGATTCCTTTTTGTTTATATTTGTTCAATATTGCCCAAACTGCTTTACTCTTCAGCTTCAAATTTTGGCAATGTCGACTTGACGTTGACCATCTTTGTATAACTCAATGATCTTAGTTTTCACATCGAAAGAAATTTCTGGACCACGCGGCATGGTCTTAAAATCACTCAACTTATTCCACAATACTTGATGAACAAAAACTAATCCTCTTCTGACACGAAAATCAAAAAATAACAAACAGCCGTAAAATAAAAAGCAATTCTAACTGATTATAAAAAACAAAAAATAAAAACAGTAGTAAAACAGAAAAAACAATTCCATGTTGAATAAAAAGCAATTGTAAGTAACAACACAAAACAAAAGTAGTTTATTTTTTATTTTTTTTAATTAAATGGAATTCTTTTTGTGAAGTGAAAAAACAGTGAAATCCGAAGTTCTACAAGACGCAACAGTACCAACTAATAGACCTAGGGACTCCAGTTCGTTGTCTTGTCGCACTTGCATTTTGTCTGACCCACGTAACAATTGATTTCCGCTACGGTTTAAATCTAAACGATTCCCAAACCGCGCCCTCGGTTGTGAAAAGTAGGCCTCAACGGCGAAAGCACGCTCCCCACTGTTCCAACTGAACTGTGCCGGGATGCAACTGTATAGGCCCAGCTCTCGAATGAGACCACTAGCGCTTCGCTACATCAATTGACTGATTGACGCGCCTTTCAAAAAAAGAAACGATGTTGCCGCGCCCTGTGTAACATCATTCCAACAAAAGATGTATTTTTTCAATTTGTCTTGTTCTAGGTGCCAACGCCGAGTCAGAGTATTGTCGAGGTGGAATCCAACATCCCTACTGCGCAACTGGAAGAGTTGGTGAAGCAGTTCAACAAGAGGATATTTGAACAAGCCAAAGATCTGAGCTACTCTTCATCCATGTCGCCTTGTCCGAATAATACCAGTGCTAGTAGCAGTGGAAGAACTGCCAAAAGCAAACAAGGTTAGTACTAATGATTGTTTTTAATCATTCGGAGCATGGCCACATTCAGGGATGCTGGCGACTCACTTTTTTCGATCCATCTTACTTTTACTCACTTTCCATGCTTTAAAGTGATCACGTATTACGGAAATCTTGTGCGGAACGGATGCTGAATCTTTTTCCTACGCAACGCAGAATCGAGAACGTTGTTTTCATTGACAACGCCCATTTTCTCTTAGACGGGTATGTGAACAAGCAAAATTGCAGATATTGGGCACCAACGAACCCAAAAGAGAAACATCAATAACAGCTACCTAGTCCAAAGGTGACTGTTTGGTGCGTCATATCCTCTAGCGGTATTTTTGTGCCGTATGAAGATGAAAACGGTCATGCATTGTTAGTCAATTCCGAGCGATACAAGGACATGATTGAGACTTGTTGCTCCTATTGTAAGAACTTAACATTTGGACGGAATGATATTTAAGAAATAAAACCCGGCGAATTTACGAATATGTTGATAGTAATAAATATTTTCTTTTCATAAAGTTTGTATTTTTTTTTCTTAAATCAAAAAGAACTTTCCCACTGGACACCCTATATTAGTTAAAGTAAAATCGATTGATTTGAATTGAGCTTGTGTCTTGTCTGTTAGACTTTACCATCGGTAAACTACAATGTTTCTTACTTTCTTTCCAGCTGAAACACCTTCGGAGCGTCAAGAAGCGTCCACAAGTAGCAGCGACCTAAAATACGACACTGTTTCAAAGGCATACGCAGATATAACAGAATCGTGCACCAGAAGAATTGAAAATCTATCTTCGATGATAAACAAGATCCGAGAAGAAAAAAATCATATTCTGAAAAATCCTCCTCTTAGTGCTAGAGCTGAAACGAAAAATGGCACAGGTAGTGACAAAGAACACTCAACAGCTTATATGGATCTACCAGAGGGAAGTGGCAAGAGCAGTTCTTCCTCTTCTTTGAGCGAAGAAGAAGTTTACAAGAAACTGTTGGAGATAGATATGAGCCTGGCGGATAAGTTGAGGCTTTTCAGTAAAGAGAAAACTGAGGCAGAAGATGGACAAGAAGCAGCAAATAAAACTACAGAAGAAATGGTAGAGAGATTGCAAAAGTTGACCAATTTAGAGCCGATAACTGTAGGAGAAAGTGAGGAGTATGTTTCGTTTTTGTCTGACATACCGAAACTTCCGAAGTTTGAGCCGCATGTGGAGACGAAAAATGGAGGCAGCAATAGTAGAAGGCCACCTCCATCTAAAGGACTAGCTATTGCAAAGCGTTTGAATCAGGATATATCTTTGGTACCCCACGAACTTTCTACTATTCAAGAGACCGAGAGCCAGCTATCAAACAAAAATGGGCTCAGTCCAGAGACACCAAGAGCAGTGACAAAAAGCATCGATGTGATTCCTGAAGTATCTACAAGCACTCAAAAAGAAAACATCAGTTCATCTTTAGGAAAAAGTCCACAGGTTTGCAACGAATCTACGTGTGCCAACATGAAATCAGGCAGCTCGTCTTCCCCAGGTACCTCTACATGCAACAAGTTATGTTCGTCAAGCTCTAGCGATGATGTAGAAGCATTAGAAGCGATGCTTAGAAGTATTGGTATGGAATGGGCTATTCCTACTCTTCACAAAACCAAAGATGCTTTGGCTCTTAGTTCGAGTTCAAGCTCTGTGGATATGAGTTCCAGAAGGAACGACACTGCAGACCCCAACATCAGTCTCAAAACGTTCTTGAAGAAGAAACTGGCAGGAAAGTTGAACCTGTCAGATTTGACAACGATCTCGGCGGAAACTTCTGGAATGAAGGAGAGAAGTCAGAGGACTTCAACGCCTGTGGTGAGCAGCAAGAGTCAGAATCATAGCAAAAGCAAGGATTCCAAGTTGATGTTTTCTGATACAGAGTTATCCTCGGTGAGAAATGATACTAGCTGAAAGTGCCTTTTATTTTTTAATGTGTAATTTTTGTAATGATTAAAAGTGATAGAATTTTATTTGACAATAAATCAATTTTTATTATATTTGTTTTATTATACTTGTACCACATCTGTATAGAAGCAGCCATTTTGTCAGAAAATATGTACCAGAATAACGAGGCCAGGAAAGATATTATACTGTATTTTTCTTTTGCAACTGTCTAAAATGTCGGTGACTGTGATTAAAATTTTCATTAATTTTTTTACAGACGATAGTTCTGCTACTGTCTCAGAGATGACGCCGTAAAACATTACTATCGCAACCTTCACAAAATTTAACTAGGCTAAAAGAATGTTAGAGGGGCGTGTTGGTCGGGGTTTGGGTGGCACGATTTTCAATGCATCGCACAATATCAAGAAACTAAAATGGTCGAGAGGGGGCTATAAATTCCCCAATTTTTCTTGGAATAAGAATCTTTGGCTGTATTAGTTAGATACGTATTGCTTTTGTTCAAAAAACAAAGCATCCTCCCCCTGCCATAACTCGAGGTTTACTGACCAATTTTCAGCTGTTCCAGGTAGTCATTCAAAATGATGGGTCTTGTGATGGCTATTTATATGCAGCGCCATCTATCGGAGAGTAGCTGAACAAAAAATATATCGATCCAGGTAGTTTTCATGAATCAATTTTACAGATTTTGGTATTCAAATTCAACTTAAATGATAAAAATATTTATTAGAACAGGACTTTCCCAAATCAACGTCCATATACAGTTCTGCCAGATGGTCATTGAAATCGGAGGCGAGCTACGAAGGGCTTCTGCGATCCTGGTAGTTTCCTGCGCAAGGTATTTTAATGAAACTTCAATTTAAATGGTTAGGTATAATTTTTATTATTAAATTTGACGAATTTTAAACTCTCATCCAAACGAACAAACAAACAAAAAGGAGAAAATCATTTGCAATATGATCCTCGCCTAAATATAATATATAATATACTCTCTCTCTCACTTTCTTCTTCTCTATAAAATATTCTTATCACCTAGAATGCCATAATTTTTTACATGGGATAAACTAAAAATTACAAATATATGTATTCAAAAAACAAAGCATCCTCCCCCTGCCATAACTCGAGGTTTACTGACCAATTTTCAGCTGTTCCAGGTAGTCATTCAAAATGATGGGTCTTGTGATGGCTATTTATATGCAGCGCCATCTATCGGAGAGTAGCTGAACAAAAAATATATCGATCCAGGTAGTTTTCATGAATCAATTTTACAGATTTTGGTATTCAAATTCAACTTAAATGATAAAAATATTTATTAGAACAGGACTTTCCCAAATCAACGTCCATATACAGTTCTGCCAGATGGTCATTGAAATCGGAGGCGAGCTACGAAGGGCTTCTGCGATCCTGGTAGTTTCCTGCGCAAGGTATTTTAATGAAACTTCAATTTAAATGGTTAGGTATAATTTTTATTATTAAATTTGACGAATTTTAAACTCTCATCCAAACGAACAAACAAACAAAAAGGAGAAAATCATTTGCAATATGATCCTCGCCTAAATATAATATATAATATACTCTCTCTCTCACTTTCTTCTTCTCTATAAAATATTCTTATCACCTAGAATGCCATAATTTTTTACATGGGATAAACTAAAAATTACAAATATATGTATATGAATACTCTGTAAAATATAATAATATATACCTAATCCTAAAGAAAAAAATATACGAAGGTAGATTTTCAATAACTTAAATGAAAGACTTAGAGGTAAAATGAAACGAATACACGTTGAAGGAGTTTTAGAAGTGCTCGAAATCCTTATAAATGTAAGAAATATTTACAATTTATCATGATATTGAGATAGTTGAGTCTTATACATTCCTCAAGACATTTTGTGTATGTTATGGCAAGAAGCACCTCCCTCATATGGTATCAACTCTCTTTTCAACAATTACGAATACAAGTAAAATCAGAGAATAGCCTGAATCATCTAGTCACTAGGTCCGCATTTATGGCTGATCCTCAAGTGGATATTTTACATTTTCACAGTAGGCTGCAAAAGTTTTCAAAATTATGAAAATAATTTTCAATGATTTGAAAATATTCAAAAATTCTAAGGATTCTAAATTTTCAAAATAATATAAAGTTTTAACGAAATAATAAAGGACAAAGTGCCATCCGTTAGCAGACCTGAGGAGTTGCGAAATAGCATGAAACAGCTGTTCATGGTTGTAAGCTGTATTTAATAATAAGATTCTGAAAAAAATCTCAAAGCGTTCAACGTTTTTGAATTTTCAGTATCATCGAATTTTCCAAAATCGGACACTAGGAATTCTAAAACCATTGAATATTTTCAAAATCTCTCATCTGTGGCCGTAGAATACAGGGTGATCCAAAAATAAGATATTGCATTGCACTTTAGATTTTTAAATGGAACCCCCATTTTTTTTTTAATTTTAAGATTTTCCATGAAGTTTATAGTAACTTTTGTATTCTCGTAAAAGATAAAACTTGTCCATGAGCCTAATGAATACGATTTTGATAGATTACATTAATTTGTACTGCAACTTTCATGTGCGTGTTTTTTGTTTTTTTAATACTCGGAAACGTGTTTTTAATTTTAAAGTAAAGTCTTGTTACCATGGGAACTATATTGATTATTATTTTTATGACATAATCCCTTATTATTAGAATTTCTAGAATTTTATTATAAGCTCAAATACCTTCACGACGATTGAAGACAGTTATAAACTTTATTACACAAAAGTTACTAAAAACTTGGTGGAGAATCTAAATATTAAAAAAGAGATTTTCCATTTAAAAATCTAAGGTGTAATGCAATATCTTATTTTTGGATCAGCCTGTATTGTACGGCTGTAGACGGAAAGACGTCTCCCTAGAAATCAAAATTGGCTTGTCGTTTTTCCCAAAATGTACCAGGAGAGTCACAAATAGGTATCACTGAGTTCTTGAGGCTCCGATTCACTATTCTCTTGAAAAGAGGTCGTATTTTTGACAGCAAGAGGAATGTATCAACAGAAAAATCAGTTGGTTAGATACTGGCAGGTAGATGTACAAAGATGTAGCATTAATGAACTCAAGAAAAGAATACAATTTAGTAGAAATGGTAAATAACAAAACATGGCTCGAATAACAACTAAAACAATATTAGTTGTGCTATTTTCAAAGGTAAGTTAGGTAGCGCGAGCGTATTTTACATTTTCTTTTCTGCACTTTTGGCTCTGAGATCCTGGTGATATACACTTGCTTATCTATATCGTTACAATAAAAATATCGCACGCTTTAAGATTCTTCTTTAGCGGGTACCTAGGATGTTAGAGGACGTGCCGCAATTTTTTACTATCTCATATGATTAAAAATAGTTATGGTCGAGTTCTCTACAAATTTACCATATATAGGATTCGGGTACTCATATAAAATACCAGAATAAAAACGTAGGAAAAAGACCAATTTTAATAACGCATTTTTGGAATTTGAGGTGATTTTTTGAAGTTTGAAGAATAATTCTCATTCTAGAACATCCCTTTTCTGAACCCATGGAGCCTGAAACTTCATTACAAGTACTCTTCATAATCATATTAGACGAAAATACCCCTGGTTTGCGAAATAATTGTAAAGTCTTATTGCTGCAAGTTGTTCAATGTTCAAGGGCATAAAATGGGTACACCAAACTTTTTGTTCGACAACAAAGAACGAGAAAACGTGTTTTCAGGGATTCAAATGAAAAAACTCTTCATATAAGATTTTTAGGTATTTATGAGACCTACAAAATGAGACCACGCGCAAAAAACCGACTAATAGCAAAAAAGTTATGGCCGAAAACCGAGGCAGACTGCAGGTGATGCGACGATGGTTTCTCGCAGATACTTAAAATTCTTCAAATTCGTAGGATTAATACTGCCAAATAACCACAAAAAAATTGGCGTAGATTGGGCAAGTAGTTTTTAAGAATTTCTAACTGTTTATCCCAAAACACCTCCCTCAAAAATTTGTGTACCCATTTTATGCGTCCATGAAACCAGACTTTTATTTCGGGGTAATTTGCTAATATGATTAGACTATTGACCGTTGACGTCGGCGTACGCTGATATAAATACAGTGTTGCCACTGCGTAGATGAAAATATTCTGAAGATCTCAGACTTTCCTTCTGAATCGCACAAATTTAAAAAAAAATAAGTTCATAATAATTTATCGTTGTAGGTAAATTTGTAGATATTGCTTTGCTTTAGATTTTTTGCGGACGTCTTCCTGTTCCTGAGGTGTTCATACCTAAGCCTTATTAACCATCTTATGTTTAACACTCTAAGTGAATAATCTCATCTTAGGCAACATGACAACAAGAACACACCATCTATAACGTTCCTTAAATATTACATCTTAATCGTATCGTGTAAATAAAAAATTGATTGCTTTTTATGGATTTTTTTCGTTAAAAAATCCTTCGCGTCAAAACATAAACAACAATACGAGTACTACAGTCTTCAAGCCCTAACTGAAACTTTGAAAACCACTGTATTTTTCATTATAAAAAGCTTTTTGTCTTAAAAAAACAACAACCGTATATATAGTCGCAAAATGCGAAATCTTTTTTATATTATTTCAGTTTTTGAAACCGTTTCAGTTGGACTTTTCAATATACATGTATTTTAAGTCTTAAAACATTGTCAATACAAAAATATTTGCCTGCAGAATATACACAATATATACAAAGTGAAGTATTTTGCATAATTTTGCAATTCTGGTAAAATTTTCTGATAAAAATGGCAGTAAATCGACATTCAATACAAATTTCATAACATAAAATGGTAGGTACTAGCGTATTACACATTCGATCTTAAAATGAAATACTAAAACAATCAGAAAAACATTAAATACTAAAAAACTTAATAATATAACATTGGTAACAATAATATTAATAACAAATGCGAAAATATATACACAAAATACTCAAAAAAAACCTATATAAAATTGCCTAAAGAAATGTACAACGTATATGCACAGAAACGAAAATCGTGAATATTAAGTACCTATTACTGTATTCAGACGTAAAAACATTTCAAAAATGGCGACAGCATGTCTTGATCTGTCAGCAACTCAACTACAGTGCTTCTAGCATCAGTCACTTAATCGTTATAAACATATATAAAATGGATGGTATTTTTGTACTTAAATTGAGCAAAATCAAATCAATAGTAAGTTAAGCAATTACTCATTTTGAATTTCTAGTTTAACAATTACACTTAAGAATACTGTATAACACAAAAATCACTACGGAAAAAAACGACATGAAGCAGAAGATTAAAGCACTCTATCAGTTATCGATCAAAAGGGCAAGATATATACAGGGTGATTCACAAGTGGTGACCAAAAATTAAAGTGCATACACGGGACCGCATTTCAAGGGGGGTCTTCTATGTAACATTTTTTCTTCGAGGTGTTAAAGCTGAAAAATAAAAAAAAATAATATCCTCTAAATCGTCAATTGGATTGAACTAAAATTTGTGAATTTACCTTCAATTTGCTACAAATTAGTCTTGCGTTTTTTTTCCTAGAGTGTATTGGTTTCGTGAAAATAAAAATAAAATAGGAGGGTTTGATACCAACTTGACGTTTCTTGGGAGACAGATTGTCAAAGTTATGTGTTATACGGTTGTTATCGTTATACTACCATTTTTTTTTTGTAAAAGTCAAAAGTTTCTATGTTACATTTTTGAGTTCTTGAGCTTTGATTATTATATAATTTGTTTTTTTTTTCATTTTTACGAAAGCAATGCACTCTAGGAAAAAACACAAGAGTAATTATTTCTAGCAAATTGAAGGTGAAATTCGAAAAATTGCGCGTTTCGAAAAAAAAATAGTGGCGTACTATTTTTATTTGGACAGATAATGCCAGTAATCTCCTGTATCTTCGCCACTGGTGCACTTTAATTTAAAGTAAATACTTTTGAATGTGGACAATACTTCGGCAAATCCACATATCAAATTTTAGTTCATTCCATTTGACGGTTTTGAAGATATTAAAAAAAATTGTTTTTTTATTTTTAAACTTCAACACACCGTATTTTTTTGATGAATACTATAACTCAAGGATTACGACTGTTGACTTTAGCCAGCTGTCGAAATATTTTTTATTAAATTTCAATATTGATACGATCAAAACAGAAAAAAAATAACGAAATAGGTACCTAAAATTTCAAGATCTGCCATCATCCTAAAAATGTGTATACTCTCGTATGCCTATCAGAGATATATTGTGAATATTCCGACCAAACATAACGAAGCCTCTAAAAAATATATTGAGTAAATATAACTACACGGAGAACACAGACATAGCTCGAATTTGATTCTGTTGATCTTCGATCATAAAAATATCGTATATTAATAAATTGTACTTCTTCAAAAAATGGTGTGAGATCTGGACGTGACAGATTGCATTTCTGACACGCCCAAGTAGCCCAACAACATTTTTGGACATACGGAAATATTTCCAACAAGCTACTATTTTGACCCTACAGCAACTGACAACCTGGCAAAATGCAAAGTGCTCCAATCCTCATAGAATTATATCAGAAATATACTATTTATGATATTTTGGTATTAAAATCGGTAGATCTGTAGATTAGGGCTAAAATCGGTAGATCGGTAGAATAGGGCTAAAATCGGTAGACCGGGCAACACTGTTCTACTCTTTGTTGACAGGTTAGCATCTTGGATAACCCCACTTTTGCAAGCAGTTGCCAGTTGTATTGTAGCCTGGTCGAACTATCTTCATTTGTCCAATGTTCTTGGGCCAATTGCCCATTTGTATTATAAGAACACATTTTGGATGACTTGTAACGTTGCAACGCTTCTGTCCACTAGATGGCGGTAGCAGGCATCCAATTATATGAGAATGGTATGTAGCAGGTTCGTATAAAAATCGACATTATTTAGGCTCTTGTTTTTTATATACGGAATGCTTTCAAAAGAGGTTAGGGTAGAAAATTGGACACTCTACACCGCCTTATTGAGGTCATTTGAGTCAATTCAAGTGGCAGTGTGGATATCGTACGAAACAGGTACGAAAATATATATACTGTCTTTCATCAATACAAAACATCACAAAATTTATAGTATTGCCAAGAAAATGTTTTTAATGCTTCCTTTTGTGATTTTTAACTGATGCAATAATGTTTGGACCAATAATTCCGGGACATAATATTTTAATTTACGGATATATTGCTCTCAATTTCGTGAGATCTTGCACTCAAAGACTCTAACATAGATATCACAGACTAAATAAAAACGCCAACTAAAAAATGCCCAAAACACCGGCTTTGGATATTTTTAGCTAAAATAAATATAAAAATATACATCTCACTTTTAAAAATATTCACGTCTCCACAATAGAAAAATAAAATTTCTGTCGAAGTTAAAAATTAAAACATCGATATTAAAAATAGATGTTGGGTTTGCTTCTCGCGTCTTTTAAACTTAATTATCAAATCACACATTTACAAAAATATATTCTAGAATTTTCACAAGCATGTGATTTGGCAAAGGAATGATACTGCAAAATAGCGCAGTTGAATTTCCACGGTACTGAAATTATTACTTGATATATATTATAGTTTTTATGTTAAATATTATAGACGTACTTTCTAACCACGAAAGTTATTTTCAATTTGATTCGTATTTGGTCGTATGATTAAATAGATACTTTTTGATACGGGGCCAGTCTCTAGAAGTTGAGTTTGCAAATGAATAAGTATAGTTCTTTATCAAGTGATATTATCTGGGAATAGGACGAATTGTACAACCACATCTTGTCGTTTCGTTTTTGTCAAATTTACTATACGTTTAGGTTATATCGCGATGAATGGCAGGAATTCTATTCTCGGACAATATTCATTGAAAAAATACGCTACTCATACTTTGTAGACCCACATCATGGCCTCTGAACTCAGGTTTCACAATCTCCAGTTATCTCTATGATATACAGGGTATTACAAAATGTTGCCAGGAATAAATAGCTTAAAATATGAAAAAAATTGATATAATTTTTTTCATGTTGTTTATCTTGAATCCTGGCAACATTCTACAACACCCTCTATATGAGACGCCCGAAGTCTGTGAAACCATCTCCAATAGCGACGTCCACACGGTACCGCCTCGAACCGACTCAAAAACTTATTCCCGCCAATACCGCTAGATGGCGTCCATCTATTTCTGTAATGGTGGCAAGCAGGAGGAAGTGGTGGGGATGACGACTGGTGGCGCCGCCTGCGGTCAGTCGCCGAACCTCGAGCAGGCCTTTTTCCACTTGCACTGCGTGCACCACTGCTCGCGGTGCTCCATTCCGTAGACTTTGCGGCATTTTTTGTTTTCGCCGCGAGCGCGACGCGGCGATACCGGAGCTTTGGCCGGGCTCAGAGGATGGACCATTGAGATGCCGGGGCTAGAAAAAAAAACAGCTGTTCAGTTAAAAGGAAAATCCTCATTTCTGCCGTAGTCGAGAAAACGGACAATTTGTAAATCGTTCAGTATTAGCATTGATTAACGTATTTTTATGTCATTGCTAATGAAGCTGATCATGATGTTCGAGGTCACTGAGGGTGAGATTAATTTTTAAGTCCTCCTAGCTTCCTATTGGGGTCATACATTAAAAGCGAATCATTTTACGGTCAAGGTCACCATAATTGTTTTGACCACTTGACCGTCACCTTGATTATGATCTTCAAGGACATTTGAAGGTCAAATTAGAGCCTTAACGAGATACTCTTATTTTTGCTTTCAGAACAGCAATTTCAAGTCCCGGTGAATCCTCGGACATCGTAAAACATTTACGGTCAAGGTCAAGATGACGTTCAAGGTCACCTTGCAACTCTAACTCTGCAACATTATCCCTCTAAGTTGCATATTTTTCGAGACATTTTGTCATGGTCAAGGTCATGAACAAGGACTTATTTGAACGTAAAATTTCTCGCTCTTGAAATTTCTAGTGTTAAGAAAAGGGGTTTCCATTTCAGAAAACTGTCAAGATCATCAAATGATCTTGAAGGTCACGTTCAAGGTCACCATTATTTTATTCTTTTGAAACCAAACTTTTATTCTACAGTGTACATTTTTTTTTCAATCGCAGGTTAACTGCAATTTCACTGCTGACCAGAAGTTAAACCTCAAAAAGCGGAGAGTAGGGCGCTCATATTTTCATTATTTCGCGCTGTTGCCGGAATTTGTAAAACTGGATAAGATTAATTGAAATAATTTCAAGTTATACAAATATTTTAGGTATAATACAATATGATAGAAATATGAGCTTTAGATCGAAGATAAAAATAAATACAAGAAAAAAGCAGTGTTCTAAATAAATTGATTGAATTGTTTTGATTTTTATTATACATGCAATGTGGCAAGGTAGCGTTTTATTGAAAATCTGCTGGTTCTGTGGACACTTGTCCTTCTGTCGTTCTGTGATTTTAAATCAATTCAGTTCTTCTCCGGTTTGGACACAAATATTACTGAAACTTTTCTGTGAAAAATGTTCATGAGGTATTGACATTTAGAATTGAAAAAAAATAAGTAAACCTGTCATGACTGTCAGTAGTAGTCAGTATAGCCAAATTTCCACAGATCACTTTAGTAGTCACAAAATCTCTATTTTTCGCGAACGTTCGTTATTTGCTGTCGCTGTCAAAAATAACCTAATGGAAGCTATAACAATTCGTTACTCTGATTACACTAAAAACTCTATTGGTGAAAAAAAAAGTTATAGTTATATCGCAATGTCTAACCTATTTTGTTTGACAGTGACATGAGTTGTCACGAATGACACGAGACACGGATATCGAGCGTCACGGAACGCACAGAACACGATAGGCCAGAAACGTAAGCGGCGTTGCCGCATCAACAATTACAAATTAATCAACCAGAACTTGGAAAACGAGCAACTTACAGTTAACTTAAGTAATAATTATCGAACTAGAAAGCTTGCTTGCGATTAAAAAACCGTGCCTAGGAATAATATTCTTCGAGATATTTTGATCTATCTATACTTTTTGAACATCCTGAATAGCTAACTTTCTTGAGGTAACACTTCATTCAAATCTCATTTACTCCTCGTCAAAACAAACACCAGCGCGCAGTCTACAAATTCACGTACTCCTACCGTCCATCGGACCACAAATGCCTCGACAGGCAGCGTTAAGCGATGAGTTTGTTTGTTTTAATGCGGCGTAAAAGAAGTTTGAATACAATAACATATGCCATAACACTCTATTATACCTTGGACTGAGCTTGAGCAGCTTATGTGGCGACTGCGGGGTCATAGTTCCGCCTATGCCCGCGTTGGCCGCCGCTTGCGCCAGCAGACTCTGTCTCATGTTGCCCACCAGGAGGCGCTGGTAGTCGGGGTCCTCGTGGAACGGACGAGCCATGTCACGATGTGACAACGTCGGAGGAGGACTGGTCAGACCAAGCTCGACTTCGGTGTAGTAGAACTCCTCCTCGTCGTCGTCGCATACTTCTTTGCTGGAAGAGAAAAAAAGGAATAGAATTCTATCTAATACAGCATACAAAATTGCGTCAAGCAGATTAACTGTATTTCCCACGCAACGTTGACACCAGTTCTAAGAAAAAAGTTGGCTATGTAGGTATGAGAAAAAATTAAATAAGTTTTCTCTTGTCACGAACTTCAGACTGTTTTCGAAATAGTTCGGATTTAAGCTTTTCATATGGATTAAGATTCAAACCATTTTTTCTCCAGCGGTCTGGATTAAGAAAATTCCTAAAGTCAGTTTATGTGAAATCAAATAAATAATCGAATAAATGTATAGCACATATTTTTTCATTTGTGAAGGCTTCAGTATAATTTAGCAGAATATTGTCAGAGTAGTAACCTAGTGGGACCACACGTTGCCAATCGAAAATAACTAAATTATTTAGATCGCAAGTGATAGATCAACCATAAAAATTTTGCTATTTTTCTAACACTTGATATTTTTGGAAAGCCGGATTCTTTAACTCAAAAAATACTCTTATTTGATATCCACTTTTGTTTCGTCAATTATATAATACATTCAAAATACTATTTCCAGCAACGTGAAATTAGAGCAATTCTCGTAACAAATTCGTAATTATTGAATTTAAAAAACCCTGGAATAGCATTAAAACAAGATTGTTCCTGTCAAAAGCGACTAATATTATTCAAACAAGAGAATAATTTGTTCAGTCGAATGATCGAGTTTTGCAAAATTATCATATGGAGTTATTGTTGTGCTAGGGTTACATCACCCCTGGCGATTTAAATACTTTCGAAAATTCGTTAAGCATTTTTTAGTATTCTACAGGGTGTCCCAGAAGTCAACGTAAAGCCGAAACCGGGTGATAGCAAAGTCATAACAGCTATCAGAAAAATATTTAATAAAATTTTATGTATGTATGTGTTTTGAAAATTATATGTCTTTGAAAAAGATATAGAAATTTCACACCCTACGGCAGTCTGTCAACTCCTGTTACTACAAATATTAACTTTTTTTGGATTTTATTTTACACTGTAATGATGAATAGTGCATCTTCAAACTGGTGTCTCAACCTTACTGCCAACTTTTCTCGTTCAGGAAAAATTGCCACTTATTTCCCAACCAAGTATTCCAGAGTAAAACTTTGCTCAACTTTAACTGGCTGTACTGGAAAAAAATGTACTACGAGAGTTTGGCAAGTAACCTTAAAAGTTGGCGCATTTAATAACGATTCCAAAATGGTATAACACTTAGAAGATTACTCGTTAACTTATGCACAATTTTTATTTGAAAAAAAACTGAAGAAAATTTTTCAAAATTTCCTAATTAAACACCGATTATGAAAACGCACAAGGCCCCTGAAGGATAACTGTTTGCACAACAGTGGGCGTCAAAATGCTGCTGATGATGATTTACCTTTACAGCAAATGCTCAAACTGTTTCCTTCAGCCGCAATACACGCTCGACATCTTCTTAAAAAAGATCGGGTTATTAAACGAGCGAATCCACAATTATTAACAAACTCAGCTGCTTCCAGTAGTCTTTGCCGTAACTCAGCTACATTTTGAATCGGCTTGAAATACACTTTTTCTTTTACAGTTCCCCAGTAAAAAAATCTAACGGATTCAAATCAGGTGATCGGGCTGGCCACGGTATTGTACCAGACCGCCTTATCCATCTGCCTGGAAAGTTTTGATTTTTGTCGCACAATGTTAGAAAGACAAAGGGAAGATCCACGGTTCTTTGAAAATTTTTATGGTCAGATGAAACCACATTTAAGAAAGATGGGTACACCAACCTGCATAACTTACACGAGTGCCACGTAGCAAACCCACATTTGATGAGAGAAGATAAATCTCAATATCGCTTCAAGATAAACCATTGGACAGGTATTTTAAATGGTAAAATAACCGGTCCATTTGAGTTCCCAGAGACTTTGACTGCTGAGGTTTATTTAGGTTTTTTGCAAAATCATTTGGATAATTTATTGGAGGACGTGCCACTGAGTATTTACAGAGACATGTGGTTTCAGCATGATGGCTGCCCAGCGCACTATACACTCTCAGTGAGAGAGTATCTCGATCAAAACTTTCCAGGCAGATAGATAGGGCGGTCTGGTACAATACCGGGGCCAGCCGGTCACCAGATTTGAATCTGTTAGATTTTTTTTACTGGGGAACTGTAAAAGAAAAAGTGTATTTCAAGCCGATTCAAAATGTAGCTGAGCTACGGTAAAGACTATTGGAAGCAGCTGAGTTTGTTAATAACCGTGGATTCGCTCGTTTAATAACCTGATCTTTTTTAAGATGTCGAGCGTGTATTGCGGCTGAAGGAAAACAGTTTGAGCATTTGCTGTAAAGGTAAATCATCAATCATCAGCAGCATTTTGACGCCCCACTGTTGTGCAAACGGTTATCCTTAAGGGTCCTTGTACGTTTTCATAATCGCTGTTTAATTAGGAAATTTTGAAAAATTTTCATCAGTTTTTCTTCAAATAAAAATTGTGCATAAGTTAACGAGTAATCTTCTAAGTGTTATACCATTTTGGAATCGTAATTAAATGCGCCAACTTTTAAGGTTACTTGCCAAACTCTCGTAGTACATTTTTTTCCAGTACAGCCAGTTAAAGTTGAGCAAAGTTTTACTTTGGAATACTTGGTTGGAAATAAGTGGCAATTTTTCCTGAACGAGAAAAGTTGGCAGTAAGGTTGAGACACCAGTTTGAAGATGCATTATTCATCATTACATTGTAAAAATAAAATCCAAAAAAAGGTAATATTTGTAGTAACAGGAGTTGACAGACTGCCGTAGGGTGTGAAATTTCTATATTTTTTTCAAAGACCTATAATTTTCAAAACACATGCATAAAATTTTTTTAAATATTTTTCTGATAGCTGTTATGACTTTGCCTATCACCCGGTTTCGGCTTGACGTCGACTTCTGGGACACCCTGTATATGCAACCGAAAGATTGCTATCTTATTCTGCAACACCCTGTATATTTATTCCTCGATAGTGAAAGTAAAATTTCAACACACTGTACATTTGTCATTGCGTGCATTTTGGTATCCATGTCTACAGATGTTCCTTGTTATTCTTGGATTTACTCTCTGCACTAAAATATTGAACCCCCATACTGAAGAATGTGACCCTGTTTAGAAACATAATTGGTAATTCATAACAAAGACCAAGAAAATCCTTGTCATATCTGTCATTCTCACCGACATTTGCATCCATAACAAAAGATGCACAGAGGTCATCTAACCTTCACGAACCTAGTAGTCTAAAAAAAGAAAAACGTGAGCAATTTTCATGAATAAACTACATCGGCGAGAAAACATCTCCATGACTAAGCGAGCATGTTATTCTTGATACTCTTTATGACGTTAAAACGAGTGTAACAACAGTACGCGGGTTTGTGAAAATACAATAAACACGTCACCTAGGCAAAACACATTTAAAAGAAATACACAGTTAAAAATATAGTCTCAAAACAGTGGGCAACAGCTCGGTACGCTATCTTGCTGCTTAAAAGTAAAGAGCATCCATGTTTTTAATAACCAAGAACCTCCATTTTTTGCTGAAATATGCAAGAAAGCAGACCAGGAGAACAATACTCTTTTCTCTAATCTTTTGCTATTTCTTTTATTATGCAACTTTTATATAGGTGATTTTTGGTATATCAACAATCAACTCGTATATTTTTTGCTAGTTTATTAGATCTTTTGAAAAAAAAAAAACGACTAAAGTGATTGTTCAATTTCATCTGCCGATCTTTTGATTCCCAGATGGTAAATGAATCACCAGTTTTTTCTTCAAGTACTTGCAAACTTTTGACCAGTAGTGTATGCATTCAATAATGCAGCATCCTACACTGTTGTTGTACTTGGAAAACACGAGCCGTATTTATGTAAGAGTGAAATGCGAAAATTACGGTAAGTTATGGGAATTTCACAATGTTATCTTGGATCTTATCTTTACTGAGATAATTGTGCAACATTCAAGACGTCAAACATTAGTGTTTCTTTAAATCAAATTCACGTTTTGGGTTAAGTGTAGGTGGAAATAGCTCGGTTGTTGTGCAAGAAGTTTTATGTCAGTAGTAGAAGCATTATGTCGAAATACTCGTAATATATCTAAGTATGTTAAAGTTTCTCATTCCCGTGTTTCATCTATGTATCCTTGATTATAACTGTTTTAAAAAATAAATTATATAAATCCCAATGTCACAGATTTTGGTATTTAGTAAAAAATATAGTGGGACTCCCACAACACAACACATCAGTTTTTATTTTTTGTGTTTTGATTTTTCGTTATGAGGTTTTCTCTAAAATTTGTCCAGCGACCCCCAATTCAGAAATCAGATTCGTGTTCCGCGGAAAAAAGCAAGTAGAAAAAATACAGTGGTACTTCAGAAAACACCATTTTTTATTATGAGTCGTCACATAGTAATCCAGCCCAAATATAAAAATCAAAGCACATTCACCATTCCTTCCTATGTATTTTCACATGTGCACATTCACCGTATTTTTACTAAAATTTCACAAGGTCCATTATTTATGCTTGTTTGTGCGTATTCATTTTTTTTTACCGCTACACAGATTTCTTTTCTAGTATCCCTCGTAGTATCCATAGAGCCACAGTTTTGGACTATATTTAAAAGATATCGCCAACAAATAATGTTTCATATTGTTTCATTGACTACGACCAGTTTTATTTACTACGTATATTCAGATAAGAGATAGACCGGATGTACACAAAAGGTTCGGGTGATTTTCACGCTAACGCGCCGTCTCGACGTAAAACAGGAGCCCTCATTGGTCAATTCGCAATTAAATGCCTATGCCGAGCTGCAGAGCAGTCTTATCAAGGCAGAGTCACATTCAGGTTCAGACGTGTTACGTATGTCGTGTGCATCATTGCAATTTGATATTTCTTTGGACGTTTTCGTTTGTTATCTTATTAAGTTGTTGAGTTTGTCGTTGTTATTGTTATACCTTGTTATTGATTGTT